GCTTCACACCAAGGTTATAAAGTGATGTGATAAAAAGACATAGTGAATTTTACAATTTAGGTTTAAGGTTACAGTAAAAGACATATTGCCATGAATTCCCCTCAAATCACTCTCCCTCATTTCAAACACACTTATCCCATCATTCTTGCCACTTTCTGAAGCAGTTCTGGAAGTCCTCCTTCAGGAGTGTCTTCAGGTAACACATTCATAGCTACCTCGATGTCCTCAATCAATTGAAAGCATTATCTTTCATGGTCATTCTGACTTTGGAGAAGAGCCAGAAGTCACATGGTGACAGATCTGGTGAATAAGGTAGATGAGGACACATTGGCATGTTTCTATGAGCCTAACTTCCCACTGGATAGAACTCAACAGCAGCATTCACTATATTTTTAATCATATTTCATAAAGACACTCATGAAAGTGGAGTTCCAGAACAGCTTCAGAAGTGGCAAGAACAACGAGATAAACATGTTCAAAGCCAGGGTGTGTTTTTTGAGGGAAATTCATGGGCATGTGTCTTTTACTGTTTTTTTTTTAAGGTCTGTTGTTGGCATTATTGTTGTTTTGCTTTTAGTTTTTTGGGACAGGTCTCTGTGTAGTCCAGGCTAGTCTTGAACTCACTATGTAGCCCGGGCTGGCCTCAAACTCACAGCAATTCTCTTGCCTCAGCCTCTGAAGTGCTGAGATAACAGTTGTGCACTACCACTCCCTGCTGTAAAATTTATACTTTAAGCACTCACTGAATTTTCTGATCACCCTTATATGTCTCCTCCCTTCCAGCTCTAACACCCGGGAGCGTTAAGGGGAGCTCTCTACTTAGATGACCCACAGACGTCTTGAACCAACACCACCAAAACTTATCTCAAACTACCAAATCAACTCCTCTTCCTGCCGAAAGGCACAGCCATCTACTAGTGACCCTGTACCAGTTGCCAAGTCCTGTGGTCTCCACTGTTCAAAGACTCCTAGAAGCACTCTCTCTGCATGCCCAATGCCCTCCACCGTGCTCCTGTGCACTCAGCTCCAGGATGACTTCTTCCGTAGTCCTCCCAGACTCGCACCGGGAAGGGGCTTAGCAATAATCTCCAGCCTTATTGCCTACTTTTTATAAGAGCAACACAGCTCTAAGAGCCTCACACCTATATACTGTAATGTATGATCTTTGTAACATCTCCATTTTTTAGGTGGGGAAATTAAGGCATAAATCAGTCAGCATATTTGCCCAAGATCCTAATGTTAAGTGATCCTGGATTCAAAACAAGGTGGCCTCCAGAGCCCACTCATTTACCATTAGGCTCTACGGCTGCCTAATAAAGCTGGTGATTTTGAGTAAAGCATCAACTCCATCAAATGAGAGAAAGACTGAAAAGCACAAATAGAATTCTGCAATCAAAACATCAACTGGGAGGCAAATGAAATCCCTTTCACTAGAGTGAGAAACCATATCACAAAGGCTAAAGAGTTAGACAATAACACACTTAATAGCTACTGCTTAAAATATGCCACATACCAGGCACCATGCCAGGTGCTTTACATACATCACATTTTTTAATCTTCTGCACTGCTAGGTAGATATTAATATCCCCATTTTGTTTACTTATTTTGTGTTTTTTGAGACTGTCTCACTCTATAGCCCAGGATGGCCTTGAACTCATAGCAATCCTCCTGCCTCAGTCTCCCAAGTGCTAGGATTACAGGTATGCACCAGCATGCCCAGCTACTATCCCCATTTTAAAGAAGAGGAAATAGAGTCAAAGAGGTTAAGTAATATGTAGATCATCACACTGCAAACAAGTAGCAGAGTTGGATTCTGACCTAACTCATCTGACCCCAAAACAAGCAGGATTCCAGTCAAATGCCAAGCTGAAAAAACAAACCAATTTCACATGCCATAGATATACAATGTGGTATTTTAGTCATTAACTTCAGTAAAAAGAACAAATTTAATTTGTTTGAAGTTTTAAATGTTTTAACTTATTTTTCTTCAAGGGAATTCCTATCTCAGCATTCCTCCAGCAGACCACAAAGCAAGAGTACAATCTTGTTTCTTCTTGTTTCTTAATCTGATACAGTTCCTAGGGCAGAAATTTTACAGTAACTCAAATTTTAAATGATGGAAAGAGAAACTACAAAAAAGAAAACCAAGCTGAAACTCTGTTATTAAACGTGCAGTTTAGGCAACATCAGTACCTTCATAAAGACAAAAAATAAAACCGCCTTGCACAATTAGGTCTGTAAGGTCTGTAACCACTTATTTCCACAATTCATACTCTGGCTGTACTTTCAGTTATAATTAATGAATGTATTGCTCTACTTTCAAAGTCGTGACAAAACCACAGGTCTTCTAATATGGCTCTCCTCTTTTTATTTATTTTTTTTTATTTTTTGGTTTTTTTTCTAGTACCAGAAATCGAACTCATGACCTTGAGCTTGCCAGGCAGGCGCTGTGCCACTAAGCTAAATCCCCACCCGCTGGCTCTCCTCTTTTTAAAAAATACATTCATCATTGTCCCAAAACTAAAATTAATTCTTTGTCTTTCTGGTTTTTTAACTACCTGGGCATCTTAAAAAAAATTAAAACCACTTGTTAAAATGTAAAATAATGTGGGGCTTAACTACCAGATGCTTAGGAAAGTAAGTCACAGGCAACGCCAAGTTTAATGCTGAGGTGCCAGCTGAACTCTCGCTGTAACAGCAACACTCCATGTAAACACTGGGGGATGTCTGAAAAGCAGCACTTGTGACCAAATGCATCAAAATCCGACTGCTAGAAGACAGTGCTTCACAGACTATGTTGTGGAGTCCCAAGATTTACACTTAGGTGTGTCATGACACACAGAAGTGCTACAGATCTCTTGTCAAATTTATTTGATTTCTATCTAAAGAACATAACTTAAGGATTTCCAATTTTACCAAAATAAAATTTACATGAATATACAATTTGCTAAAACTCAACCTTTCCTCCATTTCTTTTTTATTTTAATTGGAATGTCAGAATATAAGAAATGTTAAAACCCTTTTGTGTGGTAATGGGATTACCGACATATCACCCCGACAGACACAACCCCCAGACCTGCCATCCACAGGTTATGTCACACTGTGTTCCCTGTCAGGACCATCTCTCTTCAGCTGCTGCTCTGTAAATGGACGAGATGAAACACTAGGTGGAGGGAGAAGTCAAAGAGAAGCACTGAACAGTAAGGATGGTGCGCTCCTGGTATGTTTAAAGAAAGGCTAAGACTGAAGTCAGAGAGGTCCTCAGACTAATCATAATGTTCCAGAGCAATGACATGGCATCTTGTTTGAATGGCTCCAAGGGTTCTTCAACAATACGGAGTAAAAGAAACAAACAGCATCTCTGTGAAGTAGATGATGTTAAAAACACCCAGGAGACAACTAAAAGGCTTTCACTTATCATTTGTCCAGAGCCATAGCTGCTGGGACCACACCAGAGCCCAGCTCCTACAAACTAAGCACGTGCCCCAAACAACTTGCAGACACCAAACTTCATTCCCCAGTTGTTAACACCAGACATGAATGACAAGCAGTATCCTTTTCACTGACCTTAAAATAAGCCAAGCACTGCTTTATGTCACGGGCTGCTTAACAGAGTAAGACAGACTCATCAAATGAAAAACAATTCTCCAGAACCCAGAAATGCACTGGAAGCCAGAGGGGGTAATAGATGGTTCTGTCGGTTAACATTTAACCTGTGACTAGCTGCCACTGCCGAGACTCCAGGTGCCCAGTCGGGGTACCAACTGGCCCTGGCTTTTTTGTTTCCAGGCTAGTTCTGAACGGCCCCAATCCTCCTCACCTTTCTAGATCCACCTCAGAGGCCCCTTCCTTTACGATTCTCACCACAACAAAATCTTTCTCCATATCCAAATCACAACAAAACCCTAACAGCTGGCCCATTCCTGCGGGAATTCAGTCCTGCCGCCCTTTACAGCCCATTACTCTAAGTTCTTCACGGGCAGAAACTATATGGGGCCCGAGCGCTCTCGCTCGCTCTCTGCTTTACAGAACCGCTGCAGCTAGAGCCCAGGAAGTGTCAGCACTTGGTGACCTTAGTCCCCACACACGCCAGCTCGATTCCGGAGCACCTCATCAGGCGACCCAAGTCTCCGGGCGCCCGTACTACCAAGGCAACGCCGCACCTCCGCACTCCGCAGGAGCGCACCGGGGGTGTGAGGGGCGTGTCAGGCGCACAGCGGGCCTCTGTCCTTCCCGAGGCCCCAGACGGAAGGGCAGGCGAGCAGGCACGCTCCCCTGCTCAGCCCCGGCACGGCGTTCCCACACAATGGCACGCACGGAGCACAGCGATTCACCAGATTCACCGTCGGCGTCCTCGGGCTCCTCGGCTCCGACCCGAAAGCCGC